GTATCTCTCTCTCTCTCTCTCTCTCTCTCTCTATATATATATATATATATATATATATTCTAGAGTACCTGCATGAATTATGCAAGTGTTTAAGGCATTAATATTGATACTGCTGAATAAAACGAGTGCAAAGAAACCCATTATAGTGAAATATATATAGGAAAACTCTTACAAATGCCTATAGGTGATTTTGAACAGCGTTTCGCCCTGTCATGGACATGCTACGTCCGTGGCGGTTTATTGAACGGAGCCACAACGGAAGGCAGATGGTCCGTTGCGGTTTCTGCTTGTTTTTTTACCGCAACAAACATAGTAGGTCCATTGCGGTCTTTTAATCCATGCTGTCCAAAAAATTCGGATGGCGTCGAGCCTATGGGTAAAGACACTGTTCATTTTCGCCCATAGGTGTTATTGCATAGTGGCTTCCATATAAATATATATATGAAAACTCTTAAAAACACCTATAGGCGATTTTGAACAGTGTTTCACCCCTCCACAGACATGCCATGTCCGTGACGGTTTATTGAACGGTGCCGCAACGAACGACGTGTGGTCCATTGAAGTTTCCGCATGTTTTTTGACCGCAACAAATCTATTATGTCCGTTATGATCTTTTAATCTACACCGTCCAAAAAACTCGCACGGTGCCGAGCCTATAGGCGAAAACACTGTTCATTTTTGCCCATAGGCTTTGCAAAGTGGCTTCCATATATATATTTTATATATATATACATATATATATATATATATATATCTTCTAGAGTACCTTCATGAAATATGCAGGTGTTCAAGGCACTAATGTTGATATTTCTGAATAAAACGAGCGCAAAAAAACCCATTATAGTGAAAACATACAGCATACTATGTTTCAAATGAAACTGGATATACGTTACTGTTCCACTATCTAAGAACAAGACTATAGTAGGAAAGAACAGTCAGGCATTTAGAATGCCATACGTAAGAAAACCATAAAAATGCACAAAAAAAACTCGGATCGAATATTTTATTAAACCACCCTCCCCTGTTAATGAAAAATAGTTTTATACAGTTTTTGGAGCACCTACACAATTTATACAAGTGCTACAGGCAGTAATTTAACGAATGGAAGGAGAGCAGAAATACAATAACAGACTAAAGAAAAACTAGAACACATTTACCTTAAAAAAAAACTAGAACACATTAAACTGCCAATTAAAAGGGAAATGTAACATAAAAGCTTGCAACTTTGAGAAGTATCAATTAAAATGTTGGTGATGAGTTTCATCAAAAGAAATTCAATGCCTTTAGTATATGGTGATGAATTTCATTTATAGACAAATTCAAGGCCTTCTGCATGTCACTAAGCTAGGGATGACTCAAATCTAAATAATACCATGCACCAGCTTCTGTATGGTTTATATGGTACTCCACAAGGACATACACCATCCCTTCCCGCCAACCAACAACGAAGATTGCAACTAGTTCCCCTGAATAGACATTCTCCTAGCTCCCATCAATATCCACCATCCATCAAGAGAACAAATGGTAAAGAAGCCCATGTTGAACCACGAATCATACACAGCTGGTGTATCATACCAACCCCCCACAACAAAATCACAATAAAGAAGTCCAGGTTTTCGACTCGGACCCGAGGTCAGCTCTACCCATCGGGTCCAGGTCTAGTCGGGTCTATTGCCACCATATGAGCTTTTTCTTTCTTTTTCCCTTTTTTCCCTTTGTTTATCATCATATACTCATATTACGGCCAACATTTACTGTATTGCATAACATTCATGAATACCCACATATACATGTATTCCTTACTGTGTCAAGACATTACGTAATTAGAAATTCCTAGGAAACAAACATACTGGCAACATTTATGAATACCCACGTACCCATATTATTCGGGTCCGGGTAACCCGAATCCGGACCCAGACCCAAATGGAATTCAGGTCCAGGTTTTGGACCCAGACCCCACCTTTTGGGTCCAAAATTTAGACCCACCTTGATCAAAGGTCAGGTCTACCCTTCAGTCCCGGGTCTGATCGGGTCCATTGCCAGAGGCTACAAAGAAACCAGCTACCTACTGCTGCAAAAATGCTCCAAAAAGAAAAATAATAATAATAAACAACAAAATCTCACCATTTTCGCATGCTTGAGTTGAGACGAAAAGATGAATCGAAGGAGACAAGGGATAGCATGTGGCCTCGCCATAACAGCCTCGCAAACGTTGCCATCCGATATCAAATATGATAAAGCCCTTGCAGCCTCAGCCTGTGTTAACTTAGTTGAAGATTGAGAGCCAGAAGCACTCTCCAAAAGCCAATCCACCACTGCTCCTTTCCCTGCTCCAACAATGGCTGCTCTCCTCCCTTCATTCGCAGCTGCAATATCAGCCAACAAAGAGGCAACTCTCAATTCAAACCCTAATCTCACTCCCTGATTTGCAGAGGACATAACGGACCTCAGGGATTTCCAGAGAACTGAAGCAGCGGCGCCTGTTTTCCACAGACGATCAGAAAAATAAGAGGCAGCTTCTGAAACCTTATGGAAAAGGATTTTAGGGTTTTGATCTTCGCTAGAGAGGAAAAAGGCAGCCAAGGCGGTTGCAGAGATCACCGTTGCAGAGGTAGCGAAGAAGACGAGTTTTTTGGGAGGAGGGGAAGGGATTGGAGAGAGATGGTTCGGGTCGTGAAGGACCACAGAAGGTGGAGGATTTGGGGGTTCTGGTCCGGTTTGGAGGTTTGCGAGGGAAGGGTTCACAGGAGAATTTGAGGAGTTTCTTCGGGCTTGGAGCTTCAATTGATGGCGAGTTAATGAGATCCATGGAGATAGCGAGGATCTTCTGAGGAGGCGGAGCATGGCTTCTTAGTGCTCAATTTTCATGGTGATCTTCTCGTTTTCCAAATCCTGCAGAGAAGGAAGGCATGCAAAATAGGAGTGAAGGCAAAGAAGCGTGGAGGACGAGGAGGAGGAAGAGGGGGGAAGGGGAGTTACACGCTGTCTTGGTTTCACCCGGACCACGTGTGTTGTGCGAGAAACGATAGGAGGATGGTGTACAACTAAAACACAGACATGTTCCCAAACCAAACACCAATCTTAGGCCAAAAATTGTAAATATCCTTGAAAATACATTCTCTTGATATAACTCTATCACTCTTTTAAAAGCAAGAATCAGTTCAAGACCCGGTCATTGACTGGGCCTTTTCTGCTCGTCCAATCCAAAGGTTTGGCCTTAAAAAACGAAAAGGAAACCATTTAAATGTTGGATAAGCGTGAAGAGTTTCCTTGGTTCCTTGCCTCAAGAGATTTCATTTAGCTCAACAAATCTTAGGATATATTTTGTTTCCTACATACATACAAAATCCTATTTGTAGGATTTGAAACTACGTAGTTATAGGAAAGAGGAAAGAGGTTTTACGAGATGAGCTTTCCACGTATCATTTTACAGGAAAGATATCCTAGCTAAACTAAGAATGGAAAAGATGGTCACGAGGGTCTCTTGGGACTCTTCATTATAAGTTAAGTTTTACAGAGAGAAAAAAAAAATACACATAAAAATAGAGATGCAAAAATAGAGAGAAGTTAGTTATTTTGTCCTTGGGTGGGTATTCTAGAGGGAGAAAGACAATGTTTTAAAGCATGAGAGAGCTTGAGAGGGCTTAGTGAAATAGATCTTTGTTGTCCCGTGGACATAAGCAACTTGCTTAACAACGTAAATATTTGTGTTTGTCTTTTTTCATTTTTCTGCACTATTTTTATCTCTTATTTTTCCTAAATATTGGGTTTTAAACCTCTACAATTAGTACTTGAGCCTTAGGGTTTAAGATCCTGCTGGGCACACTGTTGTGGCAAATCACGGATCTTTGAAGATAGCTGGAGGGAGTTCAACTAGATATGAAATTCTAAAATTTGACGATTTGAATTTCTCAACCTAAAAATTAAAGATGCATGCGGTGTTGGTGAAAGATGGTTGTGTAGAGATTTTAAAAAAATAAAAATAAAAATAAAAAATAAAATAAAAAAAACTGAAAAAATGGATTATGAGGAATTTGATGAGAATGATAAATTGACCAAGGCAGATATTTTTTTGGCGCTTGATGAATTTATTCAATGTCTCCTCAAAAACTACAGTTAAATACTTATGGGAGAAGTAGAAAAATATGTATGAAGGTAAGTCTCTTCCTAAAAAAAAATTATTTGTTGGAAACTTTACATTCTCAAGATGAGTAATATTGAATCTTTGCAAGGGCACTTAAATAAATTTAATGCCTTGATTAGCAAGTTGATGTCAGCAGATGTAAAAATTGATGAAGAAGACAAACAACTATTTTACTTCGTTATATGCTAGAATCATGGGTTGTATTGATCATGAATCTCAGTAGTGCAAAATCTCTTGAATTTGATTTCATTGTTTCAGCACTTTTGACGTAGGAGTCTAGACGAAAATCTAGTTGACATTCTTATAGAAATGTGTTTGTAGCAGAAGGAAGATCAATGAAGACAACTACAAGAAGAGATCACTCAAGATCCAAATCAAGAGGGTGTAAGAAAGTAAAGTGTTTGAGCCAATGGTTTAAAAAACGGATCGATGATCCGGATCGGGCTTCCAAAAAACGGATCCGGATCGGCGAATCGGCGATCCGGATAGGGAATCGGGTGAATCGGTCAGAATAAAGCTTAAAAAAATCCGAAAAAATTATTAAAATTCATTATAAATATTGTTTTTTAGGAATTCAATAAGAAATGAGGGTGCTCCATTAAGAATTTTCATGTTTTTGAATGAATATGCGAATATTGATATGTTCTTTCCGTACATGAACCGCCATTCAACATTTAATTTACATCACACAAAAGGATAAACATATAATTATCATGAAATAAGTATATCAATATACATGGACTACAATAAAGCATAAAATTAGTAACATATGATCTAAAAATAAAATGATAGACGACGTTATTGTTCTTCTTGGTCACGCTGGTGCTTTTGATTGAATTCGTTTAACAATTCATTGATTCGATCTAAAAACGAATCATCGATATTAGCAGGCGTCTGACTATTCCCAAATTCCTGAGTGTTAGTGTTTTGTTGGGTTCCCAATCTAAAATCCCCGAAGATTGTCTATCCTTCATGCTCACCTGCACTATCGTGCTCATCCCTACACTGTTGCTGTTGGGACTCGATATGTGAATAATATGGCTGAGATAGGGTGGCCTCAGAATCATCATCTCTCTCATTTTCTCTTTGAATAATATGGATTAAAAAAAATAACAAATTTTCAAAAAAAATCGATCATGGATTAAAAAAAAAAAATCACAAATTTTCAAAAAATTCTATCATGGATTAT